ACGAAATGAACTCATTTTATCTTAAACAAAGCTTTACCTCTGGCGGTCAATAATGACTTGCATTATAAAAATAATAAGATGTCGGTAACCATAGCGACATGTACCACTGTATCATTAATAATACCGATATTACTACGAAAGCAAAAATTGAGGTTAATAGGTCAAGATAACCAATTAAATCATACCTAAATTATTACAAGAGAAAATCGAGAAATATATGACCTCATACAACATACATTACTTAATGCTGACAGGAATTCAAAACATGTTTTTTATCTTACAGATAATACAACGATTACAACGGGTATAATAGATTTCATTATACAGATGCCCCACGTGCAAAATATGCCCAACATATCTTGTGAATTAGTAATCACAAAAGGGTCAAAGACCATTGTTTCATGTATAACGTAGTGAGGATGACACCAATGTCATTTTGTATAGGCACACAGTTGATGTCCTCTTTTATTATCGATAATTCTAAGTTTCCTTTGTTATAATTCATATCAAACATGTTTTAGGAAGTCGGGTTCATGATATAAACGTTTTATCACGGAGTCATTGAATGTTTCCTCATAGAATCTGCTGAATTTAGTGGTCAAACCAAACAGTGAACGGCGTCAAGGGATTAACTGTTGACGGTAACCATAAAATACTGGGCATGCGCATTCTGTAACAGATAGCGATAACACAATTAAAGATGGGCACTCTGATTGAAGGATAGGAAGTAAACTTGTGTTCTAGACGACTATGAGACACTTAAGACCAGGATAAGCCTAGAACCGATTAACGACCCATTCCATTACCACTTGGAGATAAAGTTGTTGTCAATATTTAATTACAAGGCTCGTCTTAGTAAATACCTCGAGATACACAGCTGTTTAGAGGACGCTCAATTGTATTGTGCTTTAAGATTACGTCGCTAAATGCGAGAGAACTACCTTAAGATATCAATTCACTACAACCCATCTTTTTATTTACATACCAGACAGGTGTTTGGAGCTCGAACACTTGACGACATCATCTATTCATTTTAATCAATATCTTAGGTATAGTTATTGCACATTCTGAACACAGGTACAAAATTCAGTATTTCCGAAGGGTTAACATACACGCTGAATGTTAAATGTTCTGTTTTATAAGACTTTAACGTTACACGTATTACGTCCCTGTATAGGATGGCAATCTTGCCGTTCCGTGTTTATATATTTCATCGTGACGTGCAATGTATGAAAAGTTATTTGTTTAAAGCTGTATGTGACCAGAACACCTGACGCTACGTATACTTTATGCGTTCATGGACAGACATTTGTACGTTGCCGTTAACGCTGATTCGCCCTGTGTTCTGAGATGGTAAAATTACATGATCTTGGACAGAATGTGCGGTACACGTTAACAAAATATATTTTTCCTCTTCTGATAGAAATCCGAATAAGGCCGAACTAATCACCGGTAAACTTCAAAGATATTGACAGGGTAAAAAATGATTACTGGTTAAAGTCCGATATACTTATATGTCGAAATAATTTTAATAATTACTGGAACACGCGATTACTGGTTAAACGCATCTAAGATAGACCAAAATTTTACCAGTAAACCTCTGAATAGACTTAAATTATCACTGACAAACGTTTGAGATTGAGGTTCTGAAATGATTACTGGTAGATTTCCAAGATAGAGTTTGATAAGATCAGGCAATTAAGTCAATACAAGTTGGATTGCGTGTTTAATACTTTATCAAATGCTCATAATTAGGAGGTATTCGGCATGATCTTAGAATACGCTTCTATCAAATAACTCAATTAAACCTCAATACATGCATTGATCCTTTATTTAATGTTTGCTTAATACAACTTATCATAAAAACCATTATGACGTAATATCGGGAGTGTTTCGTTTTATGCGGAAAATGACCACTCGACAGATGTGTGTTCCGTTAGTGTAGAATAATATTGAACAAAAGCTGGTCAGTGTGAATGTATTGTTAACAGTGGCCTTTAATGTCGCGCATTACCTGGCTGTGACGAAATGTAAAAGGAATTTAGTATGTTTACCTTTGATAAGATCAGTCCATTCATTATATTATACACTATTTACAGGAATAAGAACACGCTGTGATTATGTATTTTAAATGCTTAGCTTTTACATAGAAAAAAAGAATGGATGACCATCAAAAATGTTAACAATTTAGCAATGAATGTACAGCGATTAAAAATTTTGTACCCAAGCATATGAACAAAAAGGACGCCGTTTCTTATCAGCATAACTGATTCCATTTAATACATACAATGTGTTTTAACAGTGAGCAACAGATACCTACAATGGTTTAAGTAGTTTCGTGGAAATCTTATTTTGCCTAATTTTTTATCATATATGAAAAAAATGTAATTGTAACGTATTTTTTTATTGCTTGATTTTGCAAATTCAAGTCAAATAACCCATTTTTAACTAAATAATAGGCAATGACTTCTGATGAAGGAAAACCTACCTTCTATTCATTGATACATTAATTATAAGACATCTATTAGTAGACGGTTCAGCTGAGTGTAATCCTGTCAGGACGATCCTGTTACAATAAAGTCAGTGGACCGTATGTAACACTGAGGTCCAAATTCAAACAAAACATTAACAAAGCTAAGTCAACTATGACTCTGTTATTTCTGGTTATTTATCCATGTTTGTAGCTAAAAGGTTAGAGTCGTATTAATGTGTCATATGACGGGAATTATGTGTTAAAAGAGAATTACAGATATGAAGGACAGTATTTTCCGATTCTACCAATGTATCATCAACACTACCTTTATCTCTACACCGTTCATGGGTGACTATTTCACAAGAATATCTTCCCTGCTCAAGTGATAAATCCGCTTTTTGTGGTGTTTTACTGATTGGCGAAGGGAGATAATCCCTTATGGCACTTGAAAGCCCGAGACACGCGCCCGAGAGAAGCTTATTTGCATAAGGAGATAGGAGGCGAGAATTTTCTCATATACCAGAAAAAAACTGAACTGATAGCATGATGAAAGGTTACTTAAGGGTAGTTATTTCTTGATGACGGTTTGAGTGAAGAGTTGGAAATGGACGAATCTTTTGTTTAAACTTGGTATGTATGGCTTAATTACTGTACCAATTACATTATGTACAATATTACGTACACTAAATGATTTAGGTTGTTATTTCCTTCTGATAGTTTTACAATCAATTAGAAAATGTATATGAGCTAGTATTTTATATGTTGATCCAGTCTGATTTGTTGTCTTGTGTTTTAGAAATATGTTATTTATGTATTTATTAATTCCAAACTGAACATGTCAACATAGGTTACATGTTCTTCGTGTTTAATAGGAGACAAAATACTGTTTCTATTTCATTTTAATCATTCTTTTTTCATGCGTTTAAATCCATATAAATAATCGTTGATCGTTGAAAAAATGGATAAAATGTTGTTTCAACATAGCTACATTTTCAGCCCTTGAAATATATTGATGAGTTTATTACTTTCTCTCTTATGTACATCTTCAATTCAAGCTAGAAAATTAAAAAAAAAAACAATAATAAAACGCTGATTGAAAAATATTGATACCATTGTATAATCAAAACGAACTAAGGAACATTGTATACTGTAGTACCTTACAGTAATAAACAGTTTGAATAAACAGAAGTTGACTATGTTAACAGCTTGTGTAGACTATTAATACGAACCAATGTTCATTTTTTTTCCGAAATAAAAATTCGGATAGCTTACCGCGGCCTTTATGGTAAAGACCAACTGCATTGTATACTGATGTTTAAAAATATTTCTGATTTAGTATCTATTATGTAAATGCCTGGAAAGTCACATAATTATTGCCAATTTATTTTATATTTGCGTGCATTTCAATGTTTTAATAAAACATATAATTGCTAGAAAAATGCGTAAAAATATGATAACGCATAACATTAACAACTTCATAAAAGTCCCCTTTTTTTAAAATTGTGATACGCGAATGAATTTGTTACATGTATATCGATATTTCATTATCAATAGGCCCTCTTACCGATGATGTCTATTTAATTTAGTATATATGTTTAATAAATAACACCGTTTTGTGAATTCGTGAAGATTTATTGTAGTATACATCTAATACGATCGGTATTTAATACTGAAAATTGAATAAAATTTATAAAAATTTAATAATATTCCTTTGTGTGATGTACACCAGGTTTAGATCTGTAAGGTAGTCGGGTGTATATACATGGAATTTTAACTAGAAAACGATGCATAACTGTCTTAGATTGTCTTTTGGTTTCCTTTTTCAACATTTAAAGCGTCTTCATCAACTTTATTCGAGCTTTGTTTTTAATAATCAGCAAATATAACATTGGATTATGATATCTGAAATAAGAATCTGTATCTCCACAATGAACATACATTTATAGTAAGACAATACATTAAAAATAATAATTCGCGAACGTTTGATATATAACTTCCAATATCCGATAAACTAAGACTGCTGGGCAACTTTATCACTTTGAGAATTAGACACATTTTTATAAAATAAATATATCTATAAATATATTATAAATGTACTAAAATATATCATACAAATATTTAAATTGAATATTGATAAACAATATATTTGAAAATGTAATAATCAAATTGAAAAGAAATTTTCCATTGATGGATATTGCAATTCAGTTATCATAAAGTCTTCAGGTGAACAAAACGTTTTACGTTACATAAATAGTATGAAGTATAACTCTTTTATGTATTAAATGTTAACTGATTTGCTACAAGTTCGATAACTGTCATTAAGTTTGCACAGGCCTGATTATTGTCATGTGTGTCTCGTATGAACTACATATACTTATACTTGTACATCGAAGATAACATGTTTCCATCAAAAATATTTCTAATGATAAAAGCCCAGCTTTGACATAACTATCAGTCTTTCTAAGTAATATACTAAGGGATTTTATATATTGTAATATTTTTTCACAGATGCCATCCTCAATCGCAATACGACATGTTTTCTATAAAGATCTCGTCACCAACATGTGAAGAACTCGGGATTCCACGAGATTGTGATGACCAACCATGTGTTCCGATATTCCCCACGGCTGCGAGGGTAATCAAAAACCCTTCCCTTCACTTCGATGGATTAAGGTATGAAGCCTCCCTTAAAGGTGTAGTGCCGAAGCGGGATCCCTTTTCTCCATTGTGCATAATCCCACTACCTTCAGTCATGGCGGAACAGGGTGAACCGAACTGTATTGGGAAACGAAATGAACGCGAACGGGAACGCGTGCGCTGTGTGAACGAAGGTTACACAAGGTTGCGGGAACACCTACCACTGGAACGCAAAGACAAACGGATTAGTAAAGTGGACACATTACGAAAGGCCATAGACTATATCAAACACCTTGAGGACATTCTTGCCCAGGATGACAGTGAGCATAACCACAGCTTCACGCCAGACTCGTTCATCGAAAGAAACTCGCGACCTGTCAGTCCAATACCCAAATCTAGATTTAGCGAAGAAATGTGCGATAGTTTCTCAGACACGGATAGTAACACCACAGACAATTCTGATTCCTGTCACCGGAAACGATCTCTAAAAGCCAATGACTCTATTGCAAATAGTCAAGTGCATTGTCCTGAGAAACGAAAGTGTGTTCATAACGCGTAATTGATATGGTTGTTAATTGTTCTTAATTAGTATAAATATCATGTTTAAATACAGTATGCCGCGATTTAAATCTCCCTTTGAGCGTTGTGAGAATTTGTAATCTAGTCATTCAATATGCGCTACAGTCTATATTAAAACATATATGACACAAAAAAAACCAACCGTCACAAAGCAGTTGTTTTACTGGTGTCATTATCAAATAATCATCTACCACGTGAACAATAATTCAATAATTATATAGTTTGTTCAGTAATCTATCTGAAACTTTTATATTTTCAAACGTCAACCAATGTAATTGTACAGCCGAGATAAACAGTGTTTTACAGGAAGAGCTAATATGAATCTGATCAATTTGTTCCCCAGATTGCTAAATAAACGTGAATAATTTTATTATTGATCTGTTTAGAACTTAAGTAAATGTAGGGTTTACCCTTTTACAAATACGCAGTTGTACTAGTTCTGACGACGAAAAGGTCCGCAGAATCTTACATAGTTTTATCCCTCGGCTGTCGTAGGTATAATACAACTGGTTTTCATGTTGTATATTGTATTCAAACGAAATAAAGGTGCAAATTAAAACATCTGTTTCTTAATGGTTTATCTGTTGGTAAATTCACCTCTTCATCGGTGTTTTGAAAATAGTAATGGAACCGATTATAGCCACGAACAGGAGCAGTGATTCCGTATGTCAGTCTCTAGCACATGACGAATTTGTTTCGCTGCGAAATGAATGTACGAAGTCAACACTAAGAGCTCGTACAACATGCCCGGCAGATTATTTTCAATAGGAAATCTTTGTGAAACAGAAACAAGAGGAAATTTGTAACTGTTCCAAAACACACAGGAATGTTTTTGTTAACGTGAAAAGGAGTCCAACAGGGTAGGATCCAGGACCTTTTTAAGTACACAATTCATATTACTGGCAGATGAATGTCACGTGACTCTTTTTTTCAGGTTGACAGAAGACGTAAGAAAAAATTATATCAATGTTCGGGTTCAGCAATACCATTGGAATGGTAACTTGGTATATTTCTAGGTTTCGTTTATCATTGTATTCATAGGATTGAAATTACACATGACACAAAGTCTATGATCAGGCAACGAAAAATAGAAGGACTGGTATCTAGATCTAAACCAGTCTGTTGTCCTTTCCATCAAACGAACCTCTGTGTTGAACTACACACTGGAACATACACACCGCCTGTCAGCTACAACAGTAAACATGTACATCGAATGTTCTATCCCTGTGACCTCTTGGCATTTTCTGCCACCTCATTCCTTTAAGAAAATTGACATACTATAACTAAGGAAATTTATGTATGTGATTTCAGGTAAATGGTATACCTTAATAATCTCCTCTATCGGGGAGATCCTTCTTCAAAATCTCGAGTGGGTGAAAGATTCTATTAAAAAATAAAGGATATTTATTTCTATCAATATATCAATCCACCAAACAGTAATAATCTACATTTCAGCCATAACTACAGCAGAATTTGTCATAATTTGCCTCCTTCCGGCTCATGTCATTAAAAACCCACTTTAACTGCGCTCTATCAAGTCGCAATAAAACCCAGCATACAATGCAGGAGAAGTTGGACATACGGTTGCATTGACATGAGCAGAAAATTCATGTTAAAGGGCGATAACTCAAATACATATATGTACAATGTATAGGTACTTGTCAAATTTGAGTGAAATCAAGTCCGTGGTGCTGAAGAAGTTACAATGACAGACACACAGACACAGACAGACACACAGACAGACAAATATGTATGAAATTTGATATCTTTATATAACTATAACCTGGACGATTATAGAATAAATAATTTCTTACCAACAAAATATATTCTGCTGCCATAAATATTTATTCTTTCAGTTTTTAAAATTAACAATTTTAATTTCCAAGTAATTTTAATGCCAGAGCTTCATCATCTTCTAACGTGTACGCTGACTGCATTGTATCATCCTCATCCTCATCATCATCCTCATCATCATCATCATCATCTCCACTTGCCACATCTTCATCTCCAGAATAGTCATCACTGTCACTATCTTCTGTATTAGTCAGCCTCTGTTTTTTAATGGCTGGCCTGCAAAGATTATTTTATATACAATATGTATTAAAGAATAAGTTAATTATGTGAATGTTAAGATCAGAATGTTGAAGGTTTATCATCATTTAGAATAATGAGACCTAGAGCTCAATAACCAAATACACAGTTTGCATCAATTTTGTCATTCCAATGAAATACAGATATGAAATAAAACTTGCTATCTGTCAATGACAGGCAAATTGCCTGAAATATGAATATACTCTGATGTTATTAAAGTTGAGGGAAAACTTTCTGTCTGATAGTTAAACTCTTCGATCAGAAAAAATAACGATCAGTTAGCTAACTTTTACCTAAATCAATTAGAACAAGAGGCTCATGGACCATAACGGTTATTTTTTCTACTTTGAATGAAATCTTGCTAAGAATCTGTTTTCCATGATGCAGATGGAAGTTTTGGTGAGGACAAGGTAACTGTTACAAGTGTTACCTATTTTTTGACAGTAAAGTTGGATCTCAATCCAACTGGTGAAACTTGAGAAGAAGTTTGAAATAGGTGTTGCACAGGAAAACCATGATTGTGCAATCATGTTACAAAATGGTTGAAAAATAAAAAATACTTTGTTGGCTACCTTTCCTTAACATTCCCACCAATATTTATCTCAATGGCACCAGTGAAACTGAAGAAGTTTAAAATCTGTTTTTTCAACATGGCAGCCATGGCGGCCATCTTGGATATCAGACATACTCGAAAAATAACAACACTTGGTCAGGACCATCTCAGAATCATTTCATGCAAGTTCAATCTCACTGGTGGAACTTGATAACAAGTTTGAAATGTCAAAATGTTATGCATGTCGGATGGCAGAGCTGAGGACACACAGCTGACAAAGCACGATGGCTATGAAAACACACAACTCATGGCAATGATAACATTTTGTAGGTGTTTGCATTGCTACAAAACAATCACATAACAATGTCACTCTCACATATAAAGCAGTCACAATGATACATAACAGTCACACACACATGAAAAAACACATTGTCAGATACATTGCAAAAATACAAAGGTTGTACAGTGTATAATGTTTCAGATACATACTCAGAATCAGAGTCCTCCTCCCCACTGTCATCAGCAGAGCCATACACTTTGTCAGGATCAGGCAGGAAATCTAAGGGATTAGATCCGTCTTCCTCTCCTCCCAGAACAGCCTCACCTTCCTCCTCATCGTCCTGTCAATACATCCATAGATAAGTTATAAATATGTTATCTTTCAAGAATAAAACAATTTGTTTGTTAGTTTGTTTGCTATTTTTTGTGGATATATATTGTTTTTTTTTCTTATTTTGTGATATTACTTATACCAGAGAATGCGTTGATTATCTCCCCTACTGAATCAATCACAATGTAATTCCTCAAATACATGTAGCATCACAAATTAATGTAAAATACATACCTACAAATGATTAATGCATATAATTTGTTTAATGACAACTTAAACTTGATCAATTACACAAGATATGAATTGAAAGTCACGAAATGTAGAATTCCCCTTGTTTAACACCAAATATCAGATAATTTCTTGTCAGAGAAAGTGAATGTTTGTTGGGTCAAGAAAGATTTTTCAGAAGTCTTACTCTAGGAGAGCACTTTTGTGTACTCTAAACAACCAACTGAACACCCGTGAGATCTATCGTTAAGCAAACAAGGTGAAAGGAAACAAATAACATCTACTGACCATTTCACAAAAGACAAGCCCACAGCTTACAGAACCCATAAAATATCTGAAATCAGATCAGCTTCATGTATAATGAATTATAACATATTTCAGTCCTGTACATCAGCTCTCGGAAACAATAGCTCACCTGATATTTTCCTTTGTTTTTCTTTGCTCTCATCTCTTCTTTGAGCTTCAGTCGCTTCTCCTGGAAGGAAGGATACATAACACTATAAAAACAAATTCTGCTGCATATGTAAGATTTGTCTCCCTTGATTCATATTATTTTCTTCTCAAGTTTGTTATTAGCTACTTGTATTCCTATAACATTGTAACTCATAATAGGCTAATATCCTATTCCTTCTCATCCATAATCTACGTATAAATTATCTGTAAACTAAGCCTCCTCAATGCCCAATGTTTCTGCACTGGAGAACACATTTTAATAAAAACCACAAATATATATTTACTACATAGTGGTGTTTCTATTCAGTGATACCACCAGGCAGAGAGATTTGAAAGAAAATACAGAACTTGACTTAATACATTAAATGCAAAATTATAAAGGGAACATGTTTTCTGAACTGGTCTCATTTTTAATAAGAATTTTTGTAATGGTAATAACACAGTACAAAAGGAGAGCTCACTGCTCAAAAGTCTAACATAACATGCTACATTATGTCCATTATAATACTCATCAGCCTATATCATACTCCTGTGAATGACATGATCAATGTCTGCTTAGCTACATCTGTTAAAGTGAGATTTTACCATACCCTTCGTATCTAAAGAATGTAATCTCTGTACTTTTCTACTTAGGTTTATCAATTTGTTTTTTGCGGCGTATTTCTCAAGAACTGCCTCCATTGTAGGCTATGTACACAATCCCTGTCCTTTTCAAGTTAAATAGTTACATCTGTAAGATCCCCTTATTTTTATCCTCTGTTTATGAGATACAGCTTGCACCATAACGCTTATATTCCCTGTCCTTTTCTAGTTTACTTTGTCTAATAGTCCCTAATATTTTTACTCTGTATATTTGAGGAACATGCTCCCTATCCTATACTGATTTGATAGCGATATCTATAAGGTCCTCTTAGTTTTACCCTATGTTTCTGAAGTACACCTTCCCTGTCCTTTACTGATTTGATAGTTATATCTGTAAGGTTCCCTTAGTTTTACCCTATGTTTCTGAAGTACACCTTCCCTGTCCTTTACTGATTTGATAGTTATATCTGTAAGGTTCTCTTAGTTTTACCCTATGTTTCTGAAGTACACCTTCCCTGTCCTTTACTGATTTGATAGTTATATCTGTAAGGTTCCCTTAGTTTTACCCTATGTTTCTGAAGTACACGCTCCCTGTCCAGCTTTTTGTCAAATTTGTCCTCCTTCTCCATGCGTGTTTTGGCAGCACTTATGTTGATTCCTCCCTCGTATTCGTCTGGCTCCTCGTCAACCTTGGACTGCTTCATCACATCCACCACAACCTACAACACAAAGGTCAGAGGTCACACCAATTAGGATCAAGGCTAGGTTAATAGAAAACACAACATCATGATCATACTTACAAAAGTCAGCTTTCCTCTGTGTCACTGATACAGCACATTAAATAGTTCTATTTTTGTTAGCAATAAATCAAAATACAATCAGTTTTGCTAAATATCCAGACTGAATATGATAAATAGATTTAATGCTACAACTTGTAATCTGATCAAATAATGTAACTGATCAGAAATATCAAATAATCAAAAGTAATTTAATGTTTATCAAAGTAGAACCTCCAATGAACATACAGTATACTAAAGTAGCTATTCAATTTAATTATTCATCCTCAAATATTATCAATGTCTGACAAAGCAGATGCTACATGCCCCTAAAGAACTTCATTAAGGAAGGGTATAAAAATCTCACTTCATATTTATACAGGATATTCTAGATGTCAGTTTGTAACAAGGCAAGCATAACATGTATAAAACCTAATATCCACTTTCAGCCACACTTTGTTATCCAAAACAACAGCAATTAAAATTATAAGGTACCGTATACCAGTAGTGAAACATCTGAATATGTGGTGTACAATGCACATACTACCACATAGACCATTATAGGCATGTTATCAATTTCTCAATTAAAGTATTAATTAAAAGGCATTAAATGAAAAAATACAAAAAATAAAATGCTGTCTTCTGTTATCATTTTTATCCTTACCTCTCCCTCATCATTAAATGAGACTTTCTTGTTAACAATGATATTCTTCTTCTGTATCATTTTTGCCATGGCATACTTGGTTGGTGCCTTCTTTCCCTGACGTTGTGGTATCTCTAGGCTCTGCTCAGACTGAGGATAACATTATCATATATAGTTATAGATAACAGTCAAATTCAATATACCATTACACACATTTAAACCAGGTATGCAGTGTTACTGCAACTATTCTATAGAATGTTCATGAACTTATTAACTTGTGGATTTAGTTTACCTAGGAAATCATTGAAAATCAATCCCCTGCCAAAAATAATGATCTGTAGTGTAAGATAAGGCCAAGGAAATAGCTATCTGCCATGTTTAATGTTACATTTTCAAATGAAAACAATGCTGACAAAAATTAATCCACAATGCCAACTAACAAGCATCACAATCATCAGTAACTCCATCTCAAAAACAGAATGTTAGACCTAGTAAGTATCTTCTTGCAAAATAAATCACTCTGAGAGTAATACAATATCTTACCAAAATATGAGGAATGTAAGAAGCATGCATTAAATGCTTCCAGAAATTTTACAGCATTGGGTTGCTTTATTTCAAGGTATGTACAGACCTATACTAGGAACAGTTAATTGTTTATGAATTAAATGCAACACATAGATAAAGCTTACTGAACTACCAATACCTGGTACAATTAAAAGTAGACGAACCAATTTGTCAGTATAAACAAACTGCTTCATCAATACATGCAATGAGGTACCTTGTCTTTTTTCTTGTCATCCTTAACTTCAGACGGTAAATGTCTTTTCTTCACTGTGAGGAAATCATCTTCCTCTTCCACATCAAAACTCACATTGTCTGAATCTTTCTCCAGGTAAACACTTTTATTACTTTTTTTCTTTTCCAATGTATTTTTAGACATTTTACTTTCATTTTCACTTTCACTTTCACTGGAGTCCTCCTCACTACCACTGCTGACACCAATTTCTTCACTATTTACAGACAAGTCAGAATCACTTTCAGATCCAACATAAGAGTCCTGTTCATTTTCAGACTTTCCAGGGTTGTCCTTGGATTTGATCTGTGAAGTTTGAGTAGCTGTTCTCTCTGCTAACCGTTTTTCTTCTCTTTGAAGAAATCTGATCCTTGGGGGAAAGGCCAGACCTAAGCACCTATTAGAGACAGTAGATATTTATCTTTATCATATGTTTATTACTGATAATAATGTTTTTGTATATATGACAAGTCTGATACTTCCACAAGTTGATATCAGCCTGGGTGATAGCACCCTTTTCAAATTTTAATATCTTGCTGCTACCACTTATTGCTGTCATCTTCCTGGAGTCCTGATATCAGCCCTCGATCTGACTGATACCAGGACTCTAAGACTGATAAGAGGTGTGCAATCAAAATGGCCATATGAAAATCTCTAAAATGATCTGTCAACTATTTGGATTTAAAACACATGATAGTTACACATGTCATCATACATTCACTTTAACAAATTATATACTTCAAACATACTATGTTAAAATTACTCTTAATCATACCACAGTTATCTCCCTTAATTTGAAAAATACAAAATGCAACACCATTGTAAGGTTTCATTAGACCTTCAGCAGACATATGATAAATATCTAAAAGGAAAATGAGAAACCAGCTTTTACATACCCAGAATATTTTTCTGTATCAAGAGCATGGATGTTGAAAACTTTTTTGTTGCTCATCATGAAGACAGATCGGAGATAGCTCAGAAATGCCTGCAAATTGTGAATAAAGAAATTAAGCATAATATATTTTGTAAACTTTAAAGTTAACAATTAACATTAAATTTAAAAAGTTAATGAATCAAAGACTAGACATTGCATACAATATCAGTAATATCTGCTGTTCACTTCATGATTATGTAGTCCAGTGCCAGCTCTATATAACTATACCATCATCTATTACGGAACAACTTCATTTACATTTGCTTTCAATATTAAGATTTACATTTGTACAATCAAATATCCTGAAAATAATCATTGCTGTAAAAATGACTAACTTGGATCATTTTTTCCTACCTTCTTTACTTAATCATTGAACCTTTATAGGACTTGGATCATATATACCTACATGCTGTACTAACTCCTTCAAAATTTGTAGGACTTAGATCCTATACATCTACCTTCTGTGCTGACTCCTTCATCCTTTGTTGGATCTGAATCCTATATACCTACCTTCTGTGCTGACTCCTTGACGTGTGGATCAGCAGCACACATACTTTCAAGCTTCGGTTGTATACTCCATAATTTCTTTGGGTTAACCCTGTGACACAAAATGCAATAATTATTACCTTTTCCTTAGATTTTTTCTCAAATCTTCATTTTCTACTTTTTAAATACAGGATATACTTTTCTTACAGTTATATATTCATCTGTAATTTCTATTCTGATTTGTGTGAATAAAAGAATAAATCCTGAGACTTTGTTCTTCTAATATTCAGATCTCTGTAGGAAACCCTGATTTCGAAGCGAATACTTTCGGAGATGTGAATGTTACTGTGATTCCAAACTTGAATGCTATTTCATCAAATTCCAGTATTTACTTTATTTTTTCAATTGGAATCTTCTTTTCTTTGAGTAGCTGGACCATTGCTTCCTCCTCCGAGGGCATCAGGACAAGAAGAGACTCCCCATCTGTGTCATATCTACAAGTCAAGGGTCATTCAATATAAATCATTATTCTAATACATGTATTCTGTTTGTTTCAAAACTAGTCATTCAAACACCTTATAAGAAAAGCTTGAAATACCTTTTCATATGAGCAATCTCTCTTGCCTTTGCTTTATAAAAATACAAACCAAATTCCATTCCCATCGAGAGTTTGAACTTTTCATTACAATGGCTTTCTATGTGATTGTAAACAAGTTGTCTCCCTTACCTAGCTGTCCTTCCAACTCTGTGTATGTAGGTGTTAGCATCCTCAGGACAATCCAACTGTAACACCCACTTGACAGCAGGGAAATCTGGATTTGATATGTAAACAATCTTTCTATTATTTTAGTATGAACAGCATGTCCTTTTTCCAGCTGTATATAAAACTAGTGAAATAGGACAAAAAGTTATCTTGCAATAGGTCTCTGTATCACACACCAACTTAAATTTACTGTAGCAAGTTTCTAATGTTGTTATTTTCAGTATTTAACATGTAAAGTTTTGCCATATTTTAAAGTTCTTCAAATATTCCTTGCAGTAATTAAAAGCAAAAGATATTTCTTATTGTGAAATTCCTACAAAGTTGTACCTAGTCCTCGGGCTGCTATGTCAGTTGCAAGGAGTATAGCATTTTGTTTGCGACAGAATTCATTATAAACAGCAACCCTCTTTAGTTGGTTCATAGCACCATGAAGTGCAAGGACAGAAACACCCGGTCTGAGATGGCAGATACTGTTGTGAATGTATCGAACCTAAAAACAAAAAGGAGTTGATTGTTCATTTTTTAATATTCAAATACACGAGTACTCATTGTAGTTAATAAATTTGAGAAAAGAAATGTTTCCTCCTAGTTACAACTTTTTTTATACTCGATATACCATACAATAAACACAATGGAAATAAACTCTTTAAACTAATTCCATTTAAATTACACTGAACATTTTGCCTTACAATCAGTTGTGGTTTATAATCCAGAAAATATGGTACATGACTATTTACTCTCAAACACATACCTGTTTACAACTCGACATGAAGACTAGGGTTTTTGATTTCAAATGGTTTTTGATGAATGACCACAGCAGGTTGAGTTTGTCATGTAACTCACACACAATATAACTCTGAAATATAAAAAACACACCTGTCTTATGTTTATGTCTAACCCAGACACTTCCAATTAATAAGATAATATACAAAACTAAACTCTGTAGTTTTTATAATTCATTTCAGAGATTTCAATGGAATATTCAGAGACCGGATACAGTAAGTCTCTGATATACTCCATCAATATGTTGGATTAACAGCACATTTAAATGGATAATAACCATCTATCAATGAACACATACATCTCATTATCCAATAATTAACATGAGAGTTCTGTTTACTTGTTTATTGCATATTTTCACAATTATCTTCAGACTCAATCACATGATGAAAAATCACAAACACTGAGGATAGTAATATTTAAATCAGTGGCTCTAATAACTTTGTCTGCCAAGAACCAAAGATAACAAATGATACATTTATAAACAAATGTTTGAATAAATACATTTCTTATTACATATAATAAAACTTGATATGTCCACACAACATTAATGCCCCTGAGGGGACTAAATGAAAATGTGAACTGTTTGCAATGTTCTAAGTCCAAGGGGCATAACTCTTTTAGATATCATCTAACCCAACCCAACTAAGAGCATGTTGGGTTTTTACATAGTACATGTTCATACCGAATTTCAATACAAATGTCTGACTGAGATAAGGAGCAAAAGCTATAAATTGCTTGAACTTGTAGCAAATAATCTTGAAATTAGTGCAAATTAAATCTTGACTGAGATTTTTATTAGTGACCAATATTTCTAATATTTTTTAACATACATGCAAAATATTATTTAATTTCATTAAGGCATTCTAAAGTTATGGTGCAGAAACCTAATTTTTCTTAGTTTCTTGGTAAAGAAAGGGCCATAACTTAAACAAATTTCAGAAACTAGCAAAAATCAAACTTAGCTAAGATTTTAAAAATTTCAACATACATGCAAAATATCATTTAACTCTATTAAGGCATTCTGAAGTTATGAGTGACCAATATTTTTTAATATTTCAACATACATGCAAAATAGTTTAACTTTATTGAGGCGGAAACCAAATCCTTTTTCAACTGCAGGGACATAGCAATGCATATGACATTTACCTGTTCAAGCTGTGTGGGGGTGCTGTGTTGAGCATTTTCATGTACAGAAACATACAAAGGGTTCTGTAAACTAAGTCTTGCCAGGTCCTTCACTGACCTACAATGAACAAATATATTAATAGATATGAAAGTTACAATTATAAAAAGATCGAAAAAGTTGTGCTATCATTCATGTAATGATGTAATATGCAGAAATGAAAACAGTACATTGTTAACTGGACAAAAAAATAAATAAGACATATTTTGACTAACTTTTAAAATGAGGTCCTGATATAAAAAAACCCAGTTGTTCCTAAGTTTCTTTGATGGTTTTTGGAGCATGATAATGTCAAACAAGAGACAGACCTGTAAATCCTGACAAATTAAAAGCAGTTTTTTCTGGCGAGTCCAATATATTGATGAGTCATATACAAAGAGATGTATAGGTAATATATATTTCAGTCCTAAAACTCAATGTATGAGAATACACATTATTGTGTATTAAAGATCAGAAATTGACCAATACAAACTTCAGGAACATACATATATTTAAAACTCCATCACAAATCCTACAAATCACACTGACAAAAAAATCTTTCCTCATGGAAACTAGTGAAATATTACAAAGTTCATTTTAAAAGTTGAGTTGAAATATAAATGACATGACACACATTATGGTATCACTTATGGAGTATATAATTATGTGATACAGGAAGAGGAGATAACCCATCCTCTACAATCACCTCTTGCAGTACATGTATCTGTATTTCAATATGGTGTACATGTATGGGGTATTTTAATGCCTTACTGTAATTTACAATGAATGCATTCTCCTACATAAATTTGGCAATGCACACAACAAGATATTACCAAGGAAAATGTACACAGTAAAACTAAGAGAGAAAATGCTTACAAAACTTCACAAATATTAAAATACATTGTTGCACCTCTTTCATTGGCAAAATTTTCAGAGATCCTGCTAGTGAACTGTCAAGCGAACATGCTTCCCTACATTATGATAAAATTTGAACAGCAATTCTTAAGTAGAAACTTACCTTGTTTGTGTTGCAGAAAAAAGGAGAGTCTGTCGTGATACTGGAAGGTTTTCTATGATAGCATTCATCGCCTGAGCGAACCCCAAATCAAGAATTCTGTCTGCCTCATCAAGAACTGTGAGAAATCAAACAGAACAGAACTGACTTTGATTATCAAAAACGACCAAACATGTCAAGATATATTATTGCCTCCATCTGAAGGCACTCTACACCATATCATCAATACATAAGATGTTCATCAGTAAGACACACTGTTAGAATTTTCAAAGAATTTTTTCTCTAACACTGTGATATGGTAGTTTACAGGTCACAACCATTGCATGAATGTTAATTTCCTCAAACAAAGTGTTATGTCTACACAACTCTGAATAAAAAAGAAGGCATTCTTTCATTTCCTTTTTCAAAAATGGTTGTAAAGAATTTTGGAGTCAAATTATTATATATTGTACATGAAAATATCTTATAGTGCATTTCAACCTCTAATTATACAATGTATGAAGTTATTCATCAAATCAATTTCATTATTTCAACATCAAAAAACTGGTCATGTAGTCTGATAATTTATATATATAAAGTTACCTAGTACTTGTAGAGCATCAGCTGTAAAGTTAGCTGTCTCATCCATATGCTGTAGTAACCTGCCAGGGGTACAGATCACAATATTTGTCCTGTTCATACGTCCAATTTCATCCTGCAGCAGCTAAAACCACATAAAAAAGTATTCAAATTTTGATTTCTCTACAAGTACAAGAATGGAAGCATAATAACACAAGCTTGATAGGTAATTATTTGTACTGCCACATATGACAAGTAATGGTATAGAATATGATTATCAATATCTAATACAGGCTGTGTTTTCTTACCTTCCCACCAATCACTAAACCTGCAGAGAAATCATGATATTTTCCTATTTTGCGTAGAACTACAAAAGTTTGATAGGCAAGTTCCCTGGTAGGGGAGATAATCAATGCTCCAAGACCATCCACTGGACTCCATTTTTGTCTGTGTAAACATTCCAGGATCTGAAGAAAAGCAAAACGAAATGAAATGTTCTTAATCACATTCTTGAACAATATAAAGTAAACTGATAAGACATCAAATTGATTTCCACCTTTCAAAGTATATTCGTTTTTGATAAATGTCCAGAATAGACTATATAATCATGTGTTAAATGTTTGTGTTCACAATCTATTTAAATCTGTCAAGACTGATAGCTAATGCTTTTACAGAATGTCAGCTCAAGATTGAGGTACCATTTTCTCTCCCACAGAAAAACGTCAGTTCAGATATAAATATATAATTATCAATTTCATTCCAATGGCATTGTTTATGATAAATAATATTTGAAGCTAGTTTTTTACAATTATACATCAGTCATGCTACATACTCACTGGAATAAGAAAAGCTAAAGTTTTCCCTGATCCTGTTTTAGCAGCACCAAGTATATCATTTCCTTGTAAAGCTAAACCAATCGATTCCTTCTGAATTTCTGTTGGACTTTCATATTTTGCAAATTCAAGACCTGAAGTGAGAAGAAAATCAGAAATCCCTGATATCATCTGTCCAAAGAGATTCATGATGTCACACAATGTCATATAGCTTATGAAAACACAAGGAAGCATGGATAAAGTGAGGTATTATTCATACTAAACTTTCTTAAAACTCCTCTTTATAACATCAAAGTAAAAACAATGTATCAATTAAGGAAACAAAATACTGATATAACGGAGTCTAGTGATTTTTCCAGGTGAGTCCAGAGCACAAATTTAAAATTTTTGATAAGTCCCAATATTAAGACATAGCAGGTTCTCAAAATATAATTAAGTCCCACAGAAAAGCATGAGTCCAGGACTCAAATATTACTTCCTCGGACACCTAATCCTTATCTCTGATAACAGAATGGAAGTCATATTAAAAATGTACCAATACTACTGTTTATTTCCATGATCAGTATTGTGTAACCTGGATATGCCTTAGACAAAACATTAACAATTTTAGGCCAAGTATATGGTCCATCTAAGGATTAACTACTGCTTTTTTTTCTTCGGTTATTTGAAGGGATCATAGTGAATGAAATAACTGGTATGCCTTTTAGGAATATATATTTTTCATCACCATGGTTTATCACTTACCCTGCAGTGTCCGTTTGGAAAGTGGGAAGTCAGTGAATTTCTCTACAGATGTGGAGTCAAACTGCAAACATACAAAACGTCAAAAGAAAGTTGTACAGCGGCTACATGGGTAATACTTAATACATCCTTTTCAGGTTTTGTGAGAAATCCAAACTGTTAATTGAATGAAATATTTTGAAGCAAGCTGTAACGTATAACAGCAAATTTGTAGTTCACCACTTCGAAGTTTGGTATCAAATTTAAAACTTAAAAAGATACCAGTTCTTATATACATTCCACCATTTAACAGAAAAAGTATGAATAATATAATTGTACTTACTCCATCATGTCAGTAAGTGTGGAAGAGGTTAATTAATTTATGAAAAAAATTGACAATCAAAAGATATGTCCTTGGAATACTTTTAATTTCATGCAGGTTAATTAGTTTGTAGGTAAATAAAAATGTAGCTAAATACAGATCATTATTGTTCTAAAGTATGATAAGAATGAGCAGTTTGTAATATGAAAATAATTGTAGTATGTGTTATAAGTACTCTAAGCACATACCACTCTCACTGAAATACAAAACACAATTTAACTAAGTGGCAGAAAGAATTTATGTTGAATTTTGACCTAGGATTTATATACATTTATGGACCCCAGGGTCTGATTTTACCAGTTTTAAATATACACCCCTATATTATACTTAAAATAAAATATAAAAACTGTGACATTTCTCAATCTGAAGAAGATTTTAAAAGTTTAATCACAATTTCTATTTCAGACAAGTGAGCTAAAATCAAATATAACTCTATTTATATATAGTTTGGGATATGAATGATTATATTACTTTACACATAAAATATTTGCAGTAATTGATATATTGTATTATCAAATAGCAGTGCAGAAAATAAGATCATAACTCTGATTACATCATAACTCTGGTAAAATACTAGACACAATATACAAATTGGCTAGTATTTAGAGAACTTCTCTCTAGCTTGATCAGTTAAACATCAGACTAATATGACGGAGGTCCCAGGGTTTAATCTTAGCAGAGGCATTAAAACAAATAATGACATCTGATACAATAAGACAAATTTTAGAATGTGAGATTCTAACATTCCAAATTTACTCAAAAAGAGCAATACTCAGGTGATTCTGAATAACTTCTTAACATGTAAATAGTATAAAACTTATTTTTAATGTATTCCCAATATATATGTGTTAAATGGGTACATGATTAAAGGGATGATAAAGGGATAAAGAAGATTTATAAGCATTTTATTTCTTTTATATCTACTGAAAAAAACTGTACATTTGTGCATACATCTATGAATACTATTGTGCATGTACCTGTCACAGGCCTCTTGATCTGCCAGATTTGGGGCCGAATATCCCAATGCAAAATGGTATCTTTTTTTCCCAATTTAGACCCAAAGTTTTCCCAATTCTAAGGAAAACGTCACTATTTTTCCAAATTCTAAGGGCCCCGGGTCCCAGTCCCAAAATGGGGTGTGAGAGCCTCGCTGTGGTTATAAAGAGATACATCTGATGTTATGCTTTTTATACATCCTAATCCTGACCATGTATATATTACCATCAATTTCTAACTCTGTTTTGTTGTTATACTTGATTGCATGTAACTGTACATCTTAAGCCATCTGATTGCACATGGACTGGTTACAACAAACACTTGTCTATTGTCTTCGTAACAACTACTTAATTTTATATTATTTTACTATTTGCTTGTACAACTTTATGGGCTTTAGAATATCTCCCGATATTTAGGGAACCAGTTTAAAGCCATTTGTTTACTGCCAAAATTATCAAACAGTCCATTTGAAAGGGACATTCGCGATTTTTTATCGTAATGTTTGATTTTTTTCCCCACTTCATATATCTAGAGCTTGGAATTCCTGGGTCAAGATAAAGATGCCTAGTAATACTCCTGATCAGCGCACGTGGTTGACACTACCTACATGTAAATAAAAACACGTGGTGGATGAAATTCGTCCCTTGTTTACCTGGCTATATTTTTCCTGAAGAGATGATATTTCTTTATCTATTGTCTTCCACGTCTTCTCTTTAGAGTTGTATAAATGTTTCTTTTTTACTTTGCCTGAATGTCCTCTAAAATTGTCCTTCTTCTTATTTTTTCCGAAGTACGATTTTCCAAACTGAGTATTCATTTTGCCGGAAGTTATGTGTATATTGCACAAAATTTCCTCCTGACCGTGAAGAGCTCTATGGTCGTAGTGAAATCTTGTACGCTGTGCCTAAACCTGGCCTGACACAGTGCTGATACCGGACGCAAGAAATGAATTGTATCTTAACAGAGACTTACATATATATATATATATACGTCTCTGATCTTAATAATAAATTAACTTAATTTTTTTGTATATTACTCTATAACATTAGCAAATATCTGACATAATGAGTGAAGTCATAATAATTCATTGATTTTGTTTTATCTGTGACAGCGGCATATTTCAGCGCGGGTTGAAAACTCGTCAGATTTCCGACAGAAACCACGCACAGTTGGATTTCTTTTAAACTATGCACGTTTTAGTACTTTGAATTACCATGCAAAATATACGCATGGATGTTCCTTTTTTTTTAATAAAAGAGACCCATATGGCTCACATGTTCTTTGAACTGATCATATGTTGATCCATGGCACCAATGAGATGTTTTTGTACCACATATTTCGTAAAAACTTATTTTGTTATTGTTATGTTGATATGAAGATAGTTTAAAGGGAAATATAGAATTTTTTTTTAAATTTGACAAAAAGGTCTCCAGTTTGAAAAAAAACACACATTAAAGTAGTAATGCACTGAAATTAATTCTATACTACAGAAATATCCCGAACAATATGTACATCACTCAGGTACAGCAAAAACTTTCGGCCTGAACAATATGTACATCACACAGGTACAGTAAAAACTTTCGGCTTCGATATGCTCACAATGACTTATAATCAAGAATGACACCATTAATGCACTAAAAACTTTTGCCAGCGATATTCAAGGGCCTCAATGCCACTTTTGAAGAAGTCCTTTTCTTGACCGTTCAGAAAGTCTACCACTGCATGTATGACAATATCGTCTGACCGAAAGTAGATACCAGAAATGTGTTTTTTTTCTCAATTTTGGAAATATACGAACCTGATGGAGCGAAATCAGGAGAATAAAGCGGACACTCAATCAATTCAAAGCTACAATTGTTAATGCCAGCCATAGCAATGACAGACTTAAGAAAAGGGGCATTGTCCTGGTGGAACAACACACCTTTACTGGGTTTTTTTTATCAATATTTTCTCTTAGCCCCCTAAGATGTGATGCATGACATCTATCATTAATTGTTTGTCCCTTTTGCAGATGAACTACTATCAGAACAAGTTCAGCACCCCAAAAAACCAAGGCTATAGCCTTTTCAGCAGTTGGCTATATAGGGAGTCATGAGCCCATAATTAATAGTTATAAAGTCATGGGTTTGTTGAACTTAGATAAGGAATCATAAGTCCGTAATGCCTAGTTAGTAATTCATGGGTTTGTTGAATCTATATAGGGAGTCATGAGCCCATAATTACTAGTTATAAAGTCATGGGTTTGTTGAACTTGGATAGGGAATCGTGAGTCCGTAATTACTAGTTATAAAGTCATGGGTTTGTTGAATCTATACAGGGAGTCATGAGCCCATAATTAATAGTTATAAAGTCATGGGTTTGTTGAATCTATATAGGGAGTCATGAGCCCATAATTAATAGTTATAAAGTCATGGGTTTGTTGAATCTATACAGGGAGTCCTGAGCCCATAATTAATAGTTATAAAGTCATGGGTTTGTTGAACTTAGATAGGGAATCGTGAGTCCGTAATTACTAGTTATAAAGTCATGGGTTTGTTGAATCTATACAGGGAGTCATGAGCCCATAATTACTAGTTATAAAGTCATGGGTTTGTTGAACTTAGATAGGGAATCGTGAGTCCGTAATTTCTAGTTATAAAGTCATGGGTTTGTTGAACTTAGATAGGGAATCATAAGTCCGTAATGCCTAGTTAGTAAGTCATGGGTTTGTTGAATCTATATAGAGAGTCATGAGTCCGTAATTACTTGTTATAAAGTCATGGGTTTGTTGAACTAAGATAGGGAATCGTGAGTCCGTAATTACTAGTTATAAAGACATGGGTTTGTTGAACTTAGATAGGGAATCGTGAGTCCGTAATTACTTGTTATAAAGTCATAGGTTTTTTTAATCTATATTGGGAGTCATGAGCCCATAATTACTAGTTATAAAGTCATGGTTTTTTTAACTTAGATAGGGAATCATGAGCCCGTAATTTCTAGTTATAAAGTCATGGGTTTGTTGAACTTAGATAGGGAATCGTGAGTCCGTAATTACTAGTTATAAAGTCATGGGTTTGTTGAATCTATATAGAGAGTCATGAGTCCGTAATTACTAGTTATAAAGTCATGGGTTTGTTGAACTTAGATAGGGAATCATGAGTCCGTAATTACTAGTTATAAAGTCATGGGTTTGTTGAATCTATATAGGGAGTCATGAGTCCGTAATTCCTATTACGTAGAAATTACGGAATCACGACTTACTATAATCAACAACTTACGTCGTGCTAACTGTTAGTTACACAGACTCATGGCTTACTATAACCCACGAATTACTAATTAAATTTTGATGCTAGGACTTACGACTTTCAATTTTGGTTAACTGGACATACAAATTACAAATTTAGATGTACAAACCTATGATTTATAATTACTAATAAATACTTATTCCGGCCCTTGCGGACTCATTACTTAATCACTGAGTTAGTACTTCGGACACATGATTTACTAGCTGGATACTTCAGGTCTGTACAGACCCATGTCTTAATTTCTACTATAACTTACGACTAACTAACTAGGAATTACAGACTCGTGACTTCCTTTTTTAGTTCAACAAACCCGTGACCCTCCAATCCCTGTTTTGACACTTAATCATTTAAAGAGCCCATACAACATCTTATTAGTGACCCAAATTGGTACTAATCCTTAAGTTTGAATCTGAATCTGTAAGCAATTGTCATAGAGGTGTCCTTTAAGAAAATTTGATGACCTCGGTAGATACAATAGTGATACCATTAATAACACAAAACTGTAATAGTTCATATCCACATTCCTGTTTATTAGACATCAACGAAACATGCATATCTCATCAACGCACAAGGACTAGATTCAAGTGTCTTAGTGATTGGAAAATTTCACCAAAATAAATTGAAAATAATAAAATGAATTCATTTTCTTCTACATGCATTATCAACCAATAATTAAAGGAAATCACCTAAACTCAGTACAAGCCAGGATAAAAATGACTTTTTCCTTTTAGACCTTTGCTGAAAGCTGCACTAGAAAAAATTAAGTAAGCAGATCTAAGAGACACATTTCCTTTATCAAGTATATATTCAAATAATAATGGGTTGTAGCTAAATGATAATAAGGACAGTGATTCCAGAGTTAACAATGCCACAACCTACATGTAATACATTGTAGCACAATGAAAGGCATCTATCCTTCAGTTTTGTTGATTCTGAAATCCAGAAGTTCCATTCTTGTTTAATGTTGATTTTCTCTGCAACATATGACTAAATCAAAGGTTCTATAACGCACCCCCTTCTAGGTGATAAAAGCCATTTAGTCTGCTCAATTTGACAAAGAAAATACTGACTTTAAAGTGATTTTGGTGCAGCACAATCATAATACTCAATGGATTTATTTTAACTAATCAAGTTATTTGCAAACAATCAGGGTCATATGGCCTATTTGTACAAATCATCAATTTGGTTGTGACAATTTACAGGTCTAAGTGTGCAAAGAAGACAAGCATATAAATTTGTAACCCTTGAATTTTGAACATGTACATTTGTATGCTTGAACTACCAGGTATTGTATAATCTTCAACAGGTAAATAACTGTAGAATATCTTGTATTTAGATATTAACACTGTTCACAGCATATAATTGTATTACACTTATATTCGCTCTTTATTTTGAAAATGGCAGTTTTATTTTAAATGTATACTGAAATAAAATGGTAGCACCAAATATACTACAACTTACAACAGAATCACTAATAACATTTCAAAATACAAGGAATGTCAAATAATATCTTTTCTATGTATATTCTATGGTAACTATTAACAAAATCCAAGCAGTTTTTCCTCATTTCTGCCTAGAGTAGATTTGCCACAGTAACAGATACAGATCAATATCTAATACTATTAACACAGACTTAGAAAAGCTTTACAACAGTATAACAATGTAGCTGGTACTTATCTACTGGTTTCAGAAAAAAAATCACATAATACTATTTAAATAGTAAAACATATTAAGTGAAGAAAGATTTATGATAAGCACAGTACATGTAATAATACTTAGGAGAAAGAACAAATTGTGTGTAGATTTCTACGGCCAAATTTATCAACCTGATCAAGATATAAATGCAATTTATAATTCAGTATACAATTGTAATATCATACTCAAATATCTAGACTTCCAAAGATGATATGATGTCAAAATGCACTAAAACTGTTTTCATTTAACCAAATTCCCATTGTGTGAGTATCTTACAGCATAATAATCCTTTTACTTAATTAAAATTATTGAGGTAGAGCCAAACACTTCTTGTTAAATATCATCAGGAAATTTAGCAGTAAATTTATATTTCTTATTGAAAATAAATCCATTATAGTATCCTTAAATTCAATTTTTGGCAATTAAATTAACAGAAAAGGTCATTAAAAATATATATTTTATTTTTTCTAATTCAATCTTTGTGTCTGGTTACACATTCCGACTAAGGAGAAATGGAAAGATGTCTATGTAGTCAGTTATAAATGTTAGTAGCATGACATTAAACAAAAATTCAACAATATGAGTGTTTATAATGCCTTAAAATGGAATGGCTACTCCCTCTATCACAAGTCTGCAATAAACAAATAGTAACTGGTAACAACAAAAGGTGTTTCATTGGCAGGCATTCTCATAATACAAAAAAGCAAATTATTAATACTGATACGAACACATCTTGGATATAAGGTCCCATAATTTCATTTTTTTCCCCTAAGAAAAATTAACATATATATGTTCTAATCATATAGCATACTGGTATATACCACACAACCACAAGATT